GTGTTCCACAGGAGCCGAAAATCTGCCCACGGGAGAACAGATTTGATGTTCACAGAATGCAGCTCCCTTGTTTGGGATGTTTTTGGGCCGGCATACTGTGGAACTCCTGGGTGAGAGAAAAAGCCACCGAGAAAACTAAAGCTGCAACTAATAAGATCGGGTTATTTAAACACAGACCCTGCCCGTTCCAAAATGGAAAAGGTTTATAAGAGACAACAGGAAACAATACTGCACCAAGCTGCTAAAGCAGAACCAAGCCAGTGGCTGTAGCCCATTTCCCCCGGCCAGGTTTTCCTTGCTGTCGGCACGTGTTCTGGAGTGTGTGAGGGCTTATGGCCCCCGGCATATGGAATATTATCGGTAGGATATCAAGCCAAAATAATACAGGTGAGGCGTCTCTGACGGGGGGTGCACCTGCCAGCGCCACACAATCCCAGCAGGCCTCTGCTCCACTGACACCCAGCGCATCTCCAGGCCTGTTATCCAGACACACAGGACGGAAACTACTGGAAATAACAGCCTGAGTGAGAAAGGAAGTACAGAACCGCAGCCGTTTGAACTTGTTTTGATCACATCAGGATGCTGCACATAAAAGATGAACAGGTTTTCCCTTGAGGTCTCCCAGCCCACTACTGACCAGGTCCAGCTTTGCTTAGCTTTATTCCTCAAATTTACACTCACAAAATCTGAACGCTAACCCAGCACGTAATCCATCAACAAAGTCTTCAACACAAAAAGATCAACCCTCTCCACCACCAGTGTTGGTTACAAGAACATAGTTGTTTTTGGGTCACTAGCCTGTTGGCAGTAGAGACAGTGAGTCTGGTACTGCCTGCAATTTAAAGCTTTTATATTTTGTGTTGGGTTTTTTTGCCTCCGAAGTCAAGGGGACGTTCAATGGTCTGAGACTAATGGACGTTCAAGTGACGCAGTAAAGCCTTACATTAGACAAATAAAGTTGTTCTTGTTGCCCCCAAACTGGCTCCACTAGTTTTGTTTTCTCTGCGTGAATGTAACCCCACTCTCCGAGGCCCCAGATTCTTATCAAATCTGAGCTGCAGGGGCTGAGGCTAACAGCAGGGCCTTCAGTAGGAGGCCTGAGAAGAAAGGACAGCTGCACAGAGGAACTGGACTAAAAGGAAAATCAATAACACACTAAAAAAAACTTTACAAACAAGACCTGGGAATTTTTAGAATTGAAACTGCCTGTGAGTGTATATTTTACCTGACCCTGGTATGAATCTTTGTTCTCTTTTTTGTTTTGTTCCCCCACCCCCAAACCTGAAAAAATTGAGAGAAATTATAAAATTCCTGTGGGTTTTAATTCCGCTTGGCAGGAAAAGGGTAGATAAGTTGGGCAAGTCTGTTCACTTAGGAGTTTTGACTTCAGCGGGCAGAATGGGCCCATTTGTCTTTTCTGCTGTTGTTATAGATGGCAGGTTAATACACACAAACACATGTAGTATCACAGAAAATCACTCACAGGCATCGACTTGCATGGCACCTCGATCCAAGCAAACAAGATGCAAATCTTTATGAAACAGCTCTAATGAAGGTGCTCAAGTTCTATGCTGCATATTGGCCATCTCAGCTCACAGCCCCCGTTCACACTCGGTGAAGTAACGTGTGTTCTAGCTTCTGAGCACAACAGGGCTGTAACTTGTCACTGTTATGAACTGTGAGCCCCATGACCTAATTTCAGGAATACCTTTTCAGCACAAACACACAAGATAACAGTTTCACCAGTCACAAAAGTTTGTAAAAGGACAGAGGAAATAACCTAGTTTGAGTCTTTAAACAGTGCCTCATGACCTGTCAGCAGGGAGCCAGAGGGGTCTATCAGGTTTGTACTGCTAACTACATCATTCCAGGACCCTCTGAGACTGTTAAAGGAACAGAAAGGCAACCCTGAAAGACACACAATAAATTAGCTAACTACGAATTAAATCTTTGTTTCAATTGAGCTGTTAAAAACTTAAATAGTTCTTTCTATAATACCAAGAAAAGTCATGATAATGCATTTTTCTTTTGTCAGTTTCAAATTTAAAATAATATCATGCAGGAATATCATGTTTGCCATTGCAGCCAATGGGAAAAACACACAGCAAGATCAACAGACCACAAAGAAAGCGAACCAGCTTCTCAAGAGACTAAAAAAGACTTGAAGAATGTCACCTGTTAAGAGCAGATGAAGTCAAGATGTTCCTGGGGGTGAAGTGGATGGTGCTGGCCGAAGACAGAAGACCGCCAACAAGCTTTGAGGAGGCACTGACTGCAGCAGAGGGCTGATGAAGGCTGGAGACGATGATAAATGTCTATTCACTTACGAGACAGCCTCTTTGAGAAACAGATACAGAACAACCGAAAACCACAGAGCAAATATGAAGAATTGCTTACTACACCAATCCTAACTTTTAAACTAAGGCTTGAGTGGTGGTGTAGGTTCAGACAGCTGTCAAACATTGATTAAGCATAAGGTCTACAAGCAGTGCAAGATCTCTTTCGTAAGGTAATTCTTTCACCTGGGCTGATTTGCAATGCAAACCATTTCTTGGCAGCAAATTCTAATAAAGTCTCTGATGCAATTGGCTAAAGCTGTCTTTTAGACAAATTGTTAAAGAGCCAGAAATCACAACATGTTTTTGAACAGCTGAATCCTTCTCTTTTGGTGAACCAAATTCGCCTGAGAATCAAAACCGCATTTTTTTGTGCAAATGCACAGAACACAGTTTTCCTTCACCACAAATAAATGGCTGGCTGTGATATGTCAGAGTATTTTCTAAAATGGCAGAAAAGAACCCATTCAATCACCCAGAATCTCACATCATTCATTTTAATATTCTCTATTAACAGTTTTTGCTAACGAGCCCTCGCTTCAAGCCTCATAAATGTTATTCCAAACCATTTACCTGACTGAGTTTATCCAGGAGCTGTAACAGTTTTTACAGCATAACTGCCTCTCAGAGAGCCTTCGTAGCTCACAGGCCGTGCCAGACAGTTGTGTTTTTGTGCCATGCACAGAACTCCCTGTTCCACCACTGCAAGCCAACTACATTTTTTAAAGGGAAAGCAAAATTCCCGACTTTTCCGGAACACAGAGAAACATTTAAACTTTCCCGAAAGACTCTTAAATTCGCACCCGTAAATCACCTGGCCCTCTGCGATCTCACCCTTTCCAACAAGGGAAAAAGGAGATTTGGTTTATTACAGCCGCGTGACGTATTGTGAGCACGTTCATTTAATCATGAGGATGTTCGTTGTCCATGCTGTGGGAAGACCGAACTCCTCACTCCCAG